ACGATTCAAAATTCAGATCGCTAATAAAACTTAAGTTCTTTATAAGGTTCACGCAACACCCAAAAATTGAACAAAATAGAAAATACGCTTCGTTCGTACTATCTCATTAACAGTAAGACTTTTTTCTGCTCCTCTTTTTATAATTTCCATACCAGTATTTCATGGACGAACCGCTGTGGCTACGTTGCTGTTCACATTTTCGAAACAACACCTCACTCAGACCTCGTTCCATAAGGACCATTGGGTACCATGTGACGTCACTTCTGAGTTTTTCATAAGGCGCTTTCATCGCACTTACGCTGTGAACGTTTCTCGAATGCGGCACCTATGTGTGACAACGCGTCAAGAGCATAAGCCGCTCCGAAATCGGGCTGAGGTTAGCGTAACATCCATTGCCGGCGACAGGTCGGCCCATGCGGCATATCATATTCCTTTCAATGTACGCAACGGCTGATAAGTGGATGTTGCGACAGATAAGCGACTGCTTTTGCGCCGTGAAGGGGCATGATGTCTACTATGCTACTGAATTTAACAGGATGCACAAACACTTATTAGTATAAAGGATTATTCGAACCCGAGATATAAAACACATTTCTACACTGATTTTAAGTCGACACCTCACCATCCACATCAGATGCAAAACTTCGGAGTATCGTATCAGGGAAACTGTTTTACTGACAGCGCGACGGAGACGTCGTCTCGGAGTTGGGTGTCGCGTCAGCCCGGTAAGTTTCTTGGAATGGAGAATTTTTCGTATCCTTCTATCTTTATTAGTGCTTTTAAGCTTTCACACTTATTTATAATTATTCGTTAGGAATCCAAATATTTTAAAATATATTTTAATTTAGGATGAAATATTCTTAAACAATTTTAATAATTTAGATTTATTTAGTCAAAAAACTGTGTGTGACGTATCGGGGCGAGGAACATCTGCGAACATTTTCTTGAGATCCAGAATCCCTTCTCCTCGTTTTAACTCTAAAAATAGTTGAAAGATGAGTAAAACTTAAAGATAAATAACTAAATAAAAATAAAATTTAAAAAATGGCGAGATTAACAATATTTGAAAAATTAGACATTTTCGTTCCCAAGTTGTAGAAAACTTATTTGCAACGGAAAACGAATTGCAGATATGATTTTTCTGTATTGCTAACAAAATAGTAACTCGCACTTACTTATACTCCTACCATTACGATCAAGAGGAGGAACACTGTTTTGTTAAAATAAACATTATCTTTCTTTTTGATGATCAGTATAATCTCTAATTGTATAGAAACAGTTATGCAGCAGAAAATATTGTGAGCACGTCTCCGCGTAGGACCAAGGTATGCATTCACGCGAAGATTATGTGGAACGTGAAAATAATGCCGAGAGGTAGCAATATTTTTCTTGAAATACTAAGTGTTGGGTAAAATTTCCAAAGTTTTCCAAAATTCGAGAATTTAGAGTTAACAATGAAAATCGGGTCTATGTTATCTTCATATGTGTATTGTACTCTATTATACAAGGAATTAAAGAAAAACTGTTTGCCTTTTGACGAAATTTCGATTATATCGCAGGAAATTCATGCTAAGAACTCCCAGAATTAAAAAATAAAACTTTCCGACCGCGGGGTTTCCGGTCGGTCGAGATTAGTTGGGAAATATTCATTTTGGTGAAAATCCTACGAATAGTTTAGGTTCTAGTGTTATTCGCAGACGGAAGGGCGTTTTGAAGGAAATAATGATACAATGATATGATATGATGACTAATGATACTGTTATTCTTTGCAAAGAAAGTATTACGAAATACGACGATGAAATTTAGTTTTGTAATAAACAAATAATAGTAAATTAAGAAAAAAAATGAGTTAATGCATTTTTTCAAATCAATTAAGTAAGTGCACACTCCATTGAAAAATAAAAATTTGCAATTTAGGGTCTTTTAGTTAGTTAGGTAAAAATTTTGCGTCTCAACCCAGACAAATCTGATAAAAAATATCCATTTAATTGAACACAAAATTAAATTCATTACGCTAGGCACTCATAGTTATTTTAAATAAAGTCAGCTTCCATACTACTGGTGTGTTTTTTGAAAAAGTTCTTTATCTTAGACATTTCATAATGTTGTGGTAAAATACATCCTACAGTTCCCAGAGTTTTAGAGTACCTAAAAGGATTAAAGGAAAGAATAAGCAAATCCCATCCACGTGATTCCTGCAAGTCTTTATTTATTAAACAAAGAGCCTCCATTGTCTCTTTATTACTGACGAATTATTACTGACGAGATTTAATGCCGCCAAATGTGGAACAAATACTTTTGAATGACCGAGAATAAAAAACGCCATAGTTTTTTAAACAATATTTAGTGAAATTCTCGGCTATCTGGGAGACGTCGCGTCTTTGGCTGGGAGGCCTACGTTTCGCCTGACATGTCGCAGGCTTCCTCAGGGCAGTGACACTGCGGCGCTACGCGCCCGGTGGTATATACTATCCTGGTGTTATGTACTATACGTCGGCCTCTCAGCCAACGACGCGGCGTCTTCCGGGTAGCCGAGAATTTATGGATTCGAGCCGCGGAAGCTTACGTGCAAATATTTAGTTAAATTCAATACCCAACAAGCAGAGGGCACAGTTACCTGGCCGGGTCGGGCAGGGCATAGGTCGAGGCCGTGCGCGCGCGGATGGAGAGGCGAGAGCGGGCGGAACCTTCGAGGGCGAACGGAGCGAGTGGTGCGAAAGAGCAGGAGGAGCGGAAGGAGAGCAAGGAGCGGGCAGAGTGGAATGAGCGAAGAAGTGAGAGGAGCGGAAAAGCCGGGAAGGCCGAGCAGCAGCGCGCAGAGCGGAAGGAGCAGGCGAAGCGCGATGACTGGTGAGTGGGAGGAATAGATAGAGCGGAAGGGACTGACGGACTGGACACGAAGGACGAGGTAGGCCGGATAGGGTATACAGGGGCAGCAAATTTTTATTTGGGGAGGGAGACACTACATAATATTGTGACTGGTAAGTATCTGGGCAAAGCGGCGTATCGGCTAGGTTTTTTAACATTGCCAGTGGCGGATTGATATAATTTGCTGCCCTAGACAAACAATTTGGCGTCCACTCCCCAGGTTAATTTTAATTTAATTTAAATTTGATTTTAATGTTACAAGGCAGAAAATATGTAATTATTATTACAAATAAATTATATTGCAGTTTAGTTTAAAACTGCTTTTAATCATACATTAATAATGTATTATAAAGTAACATTACAATATTGATTTCACCGAACTTTTTGGTTTACAAATATGTTGAGAATATCACAATCTATTTGGATTTAAAAAAATTTTTTATGCTAAAATGTAAAGTGAATTTGATCTACTTTTGCCCATTATTGATCTTAAGTAGTTTTTGATACGATGATATTTTGATATTTTGAAAACAAAAAATGTCCTTCAGGCAAACAATTTGAAGTATGTGTACACAAATACATGCGAAATGCGATAATAGAATTTGGAAATAATGTGTAAAGGTCGGTTCTTCGTAGAAATAGGAGCTAATCCTGCGGCGATTTATTTCCAAAACTTCACCAACATTACAAAAAACGTAAAAATGTTCATAAAATTATTATATTACTAAATTCAATTTAACATTCAATAAACATCATTATCTAAAAAAAATGTTGCACCGAAAATTTGCCGCCTATCCAAATCTTGCTGCTCTTGGCTTGGCTTGATTTGGCTCTTTGCCTTTTCATAAAACCGCTACTGAACATTGCAAATGCCTACAATTAAAATACACAATGAAGGAATGATGTTCTTCATATATGAGTATCAACAGTTTACTATAAAAATCCACATACAATACACGTACATTATTTTGCAAATGGACGAAAAATGCAAAAAAGTCATATAAAAATGGCTCATTTACTTTTATCATAACATAAAATTAATGTCTCTACTAATGGGTATTGTTACAAAGTGAAAAAAAAATAATTTCATTAAAATCGACTTCCTAGTTATTACATGAATAGAAAAGTAATAGGAATGTGGCAAAAAAATTGCCATTTGCTGTTACCCAGCTCTACCCACTATCCATTATTCTAAAATCCACCCAACTGGAGTGAAATAACTCTATGACCAATACGTTCGATTTTACATTTCATTCGTGATGTTTAAGTATCGCGCCCCAGCTGTCACACAGCATGCCACTTCCACGCAGTTCATTGCTATGTTGGCGAACCTGTTGAATCAGTATGTTTCGTATTTTCACCACTAGGTGGCGTCTAATGGCACGAGCTTCTCGAAGTCGGTTACTACTTGCAGATGCCGGAAGATTTCTCTGCTTGAACATTTTGAAAATGATTATGCATGAGGTACATTCTTAATATTTTTCTCATAGTTTTTGAATAAAAAAAACAAAACAAAAAAAACAACTATCGATCTGACAAAATATTATCGGAAGAACGTTATCGACTTGCATCTCTTTAAAAATATGCGGGGTACGTGTGAATTAATTTGTTAATTTATAAAATAGAAAAAATGTCTTTTGAAATTAAATTCAGATTGAAATTAAGCAATAATGCTAAAAAAAGAACGAAAATTAGTGAGATGGTATATTTGTTTAAGACCTCATTTTCGGGGCCTTTAGATATATTTTCATCACATGAATGAAATAAAAACATTTGCGCAAATATGTTTCCTTTGGAATAAGTGGATTCACATTCGATATAATTTTTATTTAGTCCAATTCACAAACATCTCAGATGGTACAAACGGGATTATCGCGGGGTTTGGAGTCCTCGTTCACCTGTTTCGTCTCTGTAGCGGAAGGATACAGTATGTTCTTCGTGCCATAATTATTACATATTGTGAGTATTAAACATTCAACATTTGGATTATTTTAAAATAGAAAATCAATTACAAGTAATTTTGTTTGTTAAAGAAACTTGTTAGTCATAAGGGAAGGTTTATGTTGCGAACTATTTTCTTAAGCGCTATCCGCTCAGAGCTCGCGCGTCAACGCAACTCAGCAGTGCTCTCGGTCCCAGCTCAGTCCATTTGTGTGAACGGTCGGAGAATGTTGTGTGCGTGAAGTGGGGTCGCGGGAACGTGCATGTTGTGGTTTGTGGAACGGCATGGGACGTTGTTTTGGTTAAAGAAAACTCCCTGTGAAGAGCCTGAAATAGTGTTTGGAGTGAATAAGGCAGCGTGAAAGCCACGTGTTGAGGTGGATGTTTTACAACCGGCGTGCCTGAATAGGTACAAAGTGACATGTACGAATTTCGCTGAGAAGTGGGACCACATAACGGGTGTCTTGTTGCAACTTCGAACGTCAAAGTAGTGTCACTCATGAAGAAAATCACTTCAATTTGTGGAATTTATAAATATGTTTGTTGTGAAAATTCTGTGTTCGTTCATTTTTGTGAATAAATGCTACTGCAGGTTGTGTCAAAGTGTGTGACATCATGTCAGCAGCACTGATGAGGTCCGAGTGCAGGAAATTTGCGCCGAACATCTTCAATAAGAGCAAATGCACCAATTGTTTCCGCCAGAAAGAAGAGCACAGTGCCGAGGCGCTGGAAAGCAACAGGGTGAGTTTTGTGTTCTCGTATTATGGCTTAGGTTGCATGACATACAGTTTGAAGGGCAAGGTTGTTTAGGGCATGTCAGTGTTTCATCTAGTTTATCGCTGTTTTCGTTGAATACGAGACAGGTGCATGAAAATTCTTTACTCGGCAGGGATGCTGAAGGGAACTTTGTTTTTCACTGTTTTCTCTAACGTTTCTCTTTTTGGAAATTTAACTTGTAATCATGTAAATTATTTTCTACTTAATTTCGTTTTGATTAAAATATTGAGCATGGTTAACATTCATTATGTACTTGTTTGATAAAATTAAACGAATGCCATTGCCACATTTTATTACGCGCCAGACCGCGAAAGCCAAAGTTGTGCTTCTGATGTTTCGTACATAAACAGTGTGCGATCGGATGTGTGACTTTTGAGGACTTGTGAATTGGACCCAATGGTCTTCGAGCGATGATTCGCTAGCGTTCTACGTACTTGAATAAGTTTAGTTGTTTTGATAGTTTTCTGGTTTTGTTTGTTTTCGCTTATATCTGACAACTGTGAAAATTTCTCGTCAAACACTTTGGAAAACGCGCAATGTTCTTGCAATTTTATATTCGTAATTATTATATGTATTGTTTAATTGTTTGAAATTAATTTCAAATACTTTTAATTTAATTTTTGGTTTGTTGGTTTTCGTGACTTGATTGTCCTTGAGAAATAGCATACAACCGCAGTTGCACTATTGGCCTATCCTTAGAAGAGAGTTTGGTAATGTAGAAATGTAAAATTCTGATTAACGTAATAAGTTAGCTCTAAAACTCGGTTGAACTCGCGAAATACTGCTCTCGTTTAGCTTTTGATTTCGGAAATAAAATTATTTTCTGACGTAGCCACCAATATAATAGGTTTCCTTTGGGTATTGCAGCACTTTGGGGTTCCTCCTGTTCTGATAGGAAATTGTACATTATGCTTAAAACAATATTTTCTTGTTAATTTTAATTTTTTGAAGTATAATTCATTAAACGCTGATGTAGTACGTGGAGCAATAACAGCAATATTAAATGTACGTTTACATACATTGAATGCAGCCTGAGTGCCTTTTTATTTATTTTTGTTAAATAGCGATCTCTTTCAGTTCAGTGAATTCGTTATCAATTTCACATATCAAAAGTAGTTGAGGAGTTGTAATTTGGATTGTTGGGCTATAAAAATCTTTGCCACAATGTGGTATAGTGTTTTGTATTTCTTTTTTCATCTTGTAGATTAAAGAATAGTAGTTTTTAATGTTTTGGGCGGAATTCTTTCGGAAAGGGGGCATACAATGTCTCAGCAGAAAAAGATTCAGCCAGGCAAACTGAGGCGGCCCTCTTCGTCACATTCCAGCTGCTGCAATCAGCTGGCAGCAGCATTGCCGGCCTCGCGAAGCATAATCGTATTTTAATTGCTTTTACAAGAACATGATAAACTGATTTCCACTTTCACGTGTAAATAAAAATCTGTTTTCCGCAATTTTAATGGTTTGAATTGTTACCTTCAAGTGTGTATGTGTTACAAAAATTAATATGCGCTATTGAATATAAGAAATATTATGTTAAATTACCAAAAATTACTATTTCAAAGTTGGCTCGTTACAATACTTGTTATGCATGCACGTCTTTTCGAAACCTCATTTCGCTAGATGCGAAAGGAGTGTTGTTGATGATTAGTCGACAGGATTATTGCATCAAATTACTTTTTTTTCCGAAGCAAACTATTTTCTATTGCTTGCAAGCGAAGAATTCTGATTATAGATTTTTTCAACAACACTCGTTGCTATCATATGCAATTTTGCAGCTAAATGTATGGTATGTTGTCTTTTGTTGAGTTTTTCACGAAATTCGGTCTGGAAATTTTTACACATTCATCTCAACGACATGGAAGAAACTCTTCACGCTACTCGTTTCTAAATTTTCAAACTTCAGAAGAGATTTATTCGCTTAACATGTTCATATGCGAAAAGACAAGCGTGCCGTTACTACACAACATTAAGCGGGGATTATTAAATGAATGAATGTAAATTGCATCGAATACATTGAAGTGTTTGTTGTAAAATAAAATAGTCAATCTTTACATTATAATTTTTTTAAATACTTTAATATTACGAGTATATACTATGTGAATTTATATCATTAGTTCAAAACTTTTCCTTGCACATGCAATATTTACAAGTTTGCATTCTTTTTTTACTGCTCTATAAACAACGGGACAGTTTTTGGACTGCAAAACAATGTGGATAAGAAAAATTTAATTTAAAGATAACAGTAAATTCACAAGAAATGAAATTCATTTAAACGGCTATCTTGCAAAATTAAAATTGTGACTTGATGCCATTTACCTTTGAGGTACTCTTTTAGTCTCCTGATTAGCCGAGCACTGCCCGAAATGTATGGCTTTAAGGTTTGGAAATCACCTAGAGTAGAAAAAACGTGTTTTTTTTAGGGGTGGAGGTATTGAGGTAACTTATTTTTTAAATTCGTTTCATATAAAATATTGACTATCATCCACAGCTATTAAACCATACTTGAAAATTAAAGCCAGGTGCATACAAGCTCCCCTCCATACACATACTCCCGCTTTAACATTTGATTTTTTACTGTAAGTTTATTTTGGGCTTGAGTTGGCTCTCTATTGGTTTGTTGCTGGAATTTTCAATACTAGCAAGTGAAGTTAGTATTTTATTGTCAGTTTTGTGTGTGCGTGTGTGTGTGTGTGTGTGTGTGTGTGTTGTTTCGAACTTGTCTGTTGCATTGTTGAAATTAAATTAGAATTTTCAAATCAAATAAATAGATAATAAAATTGTAAGTTTTGTTATTGTATTTGAAGCAATTTAAAAATTCGTTTAAATGTCGTTTTAAACGGTTTTAAGTTATTTTAAGCGGTTTTTATTGCACGGGGAAATGTAGCCAACCCTGCCCGTTTTTGTGGGGGCTGCTTTCGTTGCAGGGTCAGCGTGGGCCTCGTAGCCCGCTGTGATAAGCGTCCCGGCGCTGCGTCTGTTGCGATCATTAACTGGGAATGGAATGCCGTTCGGCCCTAGGGCCTGTCCAATTAAATGCGCCACATACTAGATTTGAATTTCTAAAAACGGGAGAGCGCTGTTTCGGGATATCTCGGCTGTTTTGTGCGAAGGAAAATGTGGTTTTCGTTCAAAAGATTTTTCGTTGTCGTTTTTAGGTTGTTTAGTTTGTTTATCTGCAGCAGTGATTAGGATGTTTGCTCGTAACTGGTGCCATTTTTGTACCTTTTTGGTATGAAAGTTAATAAAGGCACGTTGTTCAGAAATATAGTATTGTTTCGCGTATCGAGGAATTCTTTATGTAAATGAAATTTCGGGTCTGAAGTTTGAATGCAATGCATATTTGGAATTTGTTTATTTTTTAGAAGGCACATTTTTCAAATATTTCTGAAATTGATTATTTATTTTAGCTTATGAACTGGTGAAATCAAATTAGAATATTGTTACCTGGTTTTATATTTTTGTTAGTGTACTTTTACCCACGCAGCCATCGGGATACGTTTCTGGTGATTATTTTTGTGATTGATATTTACTTGTTACTGTGCAATCAAAGTTTGCTTTGACCTAAATATGAACATAATTAATGTAGACTGTTAAAACATATTTTTACGCGACAATACGATTAGGATTGTGCGTCATAACCAGGGCTCGCATTCTGATGAACTAAAAATTCTCTGTTATCTATCTATAAAATTATTTGAAAATAAGAGGAAAATGACCTATAAAAAGACTTAAAAATTAGAGAGAATTTATCTTTCTTTTTTCTTTTTTTTCAAAAATGTGAATAAAAATGTTTATTTATTCAATGAATTTTACTGTTTTAAATACAATTTATTTATATAAAATTATATTAATATAGTATTTACATTCGGAGGAAATGTAATGCTTTACTCCGAACTTTGCAACCGTCAGTTTTCAAAGGTTCCCGATGATCCGTGTCATTTTGATAGTTCGAAAAACAGAATCTACAGGAAAAGTGAATTTCGTCATAAACTGATGATAAAATAAAAAAATTGTGATAGTGTGTCATTGTAAATTTACGAAACATTCACAAATGGAAATCCGAAAAGAAAACAAATTTTTGTGAAAATGACGGAAAGATCGAAAGAAAATACCTAAAAATTGAAACATGGCAAAAAATGATCCAATAACTGCATTTCTATAGTCTGTATGTCGTGATAAACATTAATTTACAAGTTACCAAAACGCACCAATGGAAAGATGACGTGTCATCAAAATCCGAGCCCTGGTTATAACATACTACACTGCGATTTTCACAGGTATCAGCTATTGATAGTTTCATCCAATAGGGAGCTTGTGACGCCACTATGGTGACGTTCAAGCTCCCAATAGGATGAAACGGTCAATAGCTGATAGCAGGGGCAGACTTGCATCAATCGCCGTATAGTATTGCAGAAAACAAGTCCGGGAGAGCGGAAAGGCAGAGTTGTTGACTTCCTCTTCTTATGCATCATCATGATGATGATGATAAATATAATATTTTTTTCTCCGTTTCGCTAAAATTTCCTCGTGGCGGGCCACGTGGCGACAGCTGGTGGCGAGGGGCCCGCCCGGAGTCGGAGTGAAAGGCGTGGTCGTCGACGAAGGGAGCGTGCGCGACGGAGGCGGTCTCGATTCGCGGCCGTTTTCCCATTTCGCGCGCGCCGCGCCTCAATTGTTCGCGATTCGGAGCGGGCGGTGCCTCGCGCCGCAACAGATTCCGACGCTGGCGGCAATGGCACTCCACTCTCCCCGCCTAGTCTCCTCGCCCACGCCGGACTCGCAACGTGAAATATGCTCTCTTGTCTTTTTTGGGACCGTCTCTTATACGTCGATTTTTCGGTATTGGCCGATGACATTAGGTAATACCTACATCTCCTGCCTTATAAAGTAAATATTTTTAACAGTGGTAAGCACGTTTCTAAGGCCACAAGCCCCGTTGAGAAGGGCGTTCGTGAATTCATTAAAAATATTCGTTTTATAAGGCAGGAGGTGTAACAATGATCTAATATCATTGGCCACTAAAAAAATCTAAGTATAATTATTCACATTTCACGTGCAGTAGATTCGCAATCATCCAAGTCTCGTTAATGGTAGCAGTTGTAGAAGTGGACGATAAAATATTCATTTCATAAACGAAGACATAAATATATAAAATGGTTGCTTTTAGACGAGGCCGTAGTGGGGCATAAGTATTTCGGTAAAACCTTTCGGCCCCAGTTTCTCTTTTGATTTGTAATTATAACTCTTTAGAGTATCTAAAATCGCAGGGTGCCGTTGTTAAATAAACGTTGACATTAAAATGTTGAATGCGTTCTTAGATCCAATTTTCCGAAGTACGATTTTTGTACTGCGTTAAATGTGATAGGTCTGGGAAATTGATTGTTCAATATGTTTATTCAAAAGGCGTTTCGAGTGACGTGCTGTTTGTCAGTTGCCCGGAGGTGACGTGATCGTCGAAGGTCAGCGTTGTTAGGTGAAATTCTGTCTAGTGAAGGTTTATGGAAGCATCCGGAGAGGGGAGGTGAACCACTACTCCACTTGTACACTGACTCAGTTTCGTTCCATGTTGTGCCGTCCTTCATGAAGAATCGTGATTAGTAGTTAACGTGTTTTTTCTGCATCCATTGTTTGGCGCGAAGGCTATAGGATGCGGGACAGAGAACAGTGGAACATGGAATAATCGCGATGTTAAAGATCGCAGGATTCCCATTGCGCTAGAGCAAGATGAAGTTTGAAATGACCTCAAACGTCATTTTGTCTAAAATGTTTTGCGTCCCTGCGTATCAAACAAAAAACTCAACACACGAACATAGACACGTCTGAGACTTTTGAAGCGTAAATAATAGATCTGCTTGGATTTCCAAACAATCAGATTGCCCTACATACTCTTACTACACGTGGACACCTGTCCACTGAAACCTTGAAAATAAATGACCTCCAGATAATGCATGTGACCACGTACATGGCCGTGTTCAGATGAATAAGATAAGTGCCGCTCGAGTGTGGATTCTCGCCATTTTTCAGTGGAAAGTTGATGTGTCCCTGATCTTGCGGTTGCGTGTTCCTCCGAGAAAGGAATGTGCCTGAATGGAGCGAAGCCGAGTATTGCGCAACTCGTTTCGCGGTTGGCTTTGGATGAAGCTAGTTTATGACGTATCCGCGGAAAACTGTTACAACATGTAAGAAAACTATGCGGATATGGTGGGGTGTTTGTGTTCTTGTTAACACTAATGAAGACAGATGTCTGATCGTTTGGTGTTTAATATATTGAGCTTCATCGGGCAGGTTGAAGCATGGAAAAGAGCTGGTCCAGAAGCCAATATGAGAAACTTCAACTTCTGCTGATATGCCGCTGATTAATTCTACGCCTTGTGTATTTTAACTCTCACTAAAAAAGATTTTA